TTCTTTGGGTTTTGAGTCAGCATGAGTCTTGATTTTTAATTTGACTGTTTTTATGATTTCTATTGTCTTCGTTCATAATTTATTGTTTTATTGTTTGTTGTTGTATGTATGATTTTTTTTCTCCATGTAGAGCACTTTGTATGCAGCGGTGGTTGTTTTAAAGTGCTCTATCAATACAGTTGAGTTGAGTTGAGAACTTACATTTGAAACATAACAAAAAGCCACCATTTCAACCCCCCCCCGACCACATTTTCACCTCTGACCTTTTACCTTCTGAGCGTCTTGCTTCTGACGTATTTGCCCCTTCCCACATATGATTTCCCTTACTTTAAATTTAAACAGTGAGCATACTGAAGCTCGGCCATCAACGTTGGAGGTAAACATCCACCATGTTGATGAGAGCTAAAAGAATCGAGTGAGTCACTTAGAAGGCGCGGACATACATACATCAAATTATGTTTGACATAGTCAATCCAGAGGTTGGGTCACGCCATGTCTCCTGTCATTAGCCCTGCTCCTATTGCCTGCCACCAAATGCATGGTGAAGTGATCAAGGAGCATGCGTAACTTGACACTTTCCACATGAGTTGATTACTGCCATTAGTGTTGAGATTGACTTATTTAGCTGCGCCCTGGAAACTATGGAATACCTAAAGCCAACATGATCTAATAAATAAATAAATTCCCACCATCTATATATATATATATATATATATGTACTTGATGGATTTTGTGTCATTTTATTGCGACTACTGCGGTCTACTGACTGATTTATTTGAATTTTTTTTTTTTTATTTCATGCCCTTCACACAAGATGAAAAAAACTAAAGGTGATCGAGCCTTGCAATCCATTGCCCCCAAACTGTGAATGCACTTTGGAGCTAAGAGTTGCCTCGTCAGTGGATGTTTTCCAAAAGCACTTAAAAACGTACTTGTTACATAGGTAGCGGCAGAAAGAATACATTTTTTTTTTTAACTTTCATTTATTTTGATTTGATTTTAACTCTTTGAGGGACAGCGGTTACTACAGTGGATAGCGTATCATGTTATCAGGTTAGAGGGTGCATGAAAGGGTTAATGATTTGTGTTTTTAAATTTTTTGTATTCAATCTGCAATGTAAAATGTTGTGATTCTGTATTTCACATGCTGTATTTATGACCAGAGTTGCAGAGTTCAATTCCGACTCCGGTTGTCCTGTGTGGAGTTTGCATGTTCTCCCCGTGCCTGCGTGGGTTTTCTCCGGGTACTCCGGTTTCCTCCCACATTCCAAAAACATGCGTGGGCAGGTTAATGTAACGCTCAAAATTGTCCCTTAGTGTGATTGCCGATGTGTGCGAATGGTCGTTCTTCTCTGTTTGCCCTGCGATTGACTGGCGACCAGTTCAGGATGCACCCCGCCTACTGCCGGAAGACGGCTGGGATAGGCTCCAGCACCCCCCCGCGACCCTTGTGAGGATAAAGCGGATTAGAAAATGGATGGATGGATTTATGACTGCATTTCAACCATTTAAAGCACTTTGTGAGTGCTCGCTATGGATAGTCCCAGATAAATGAAATTTCCTTATGTACACTGCCTGTATGCTTTGTATGATCTCCCAGTATTTTATATGCTTTTAATCATCATATTACAATCTCTTCAAGCTGCTTGGAAGTTAAGCTATGACAGGTTAGAGAACCACCTGTTGCTTGGCATGCGCTTGACATTGACAGCCAGCACGTGTTTTCCGGTTGTTATTGATTTTTGGACAAGGCACACTGCTGTCTTTTTGTTTGTTTTTTTTTTTTTTTTACGTGCTTTTACCCCATATTGTTTGCAGCCCTATTGTGTTTAAAATGCACCTCTACAAGCTTTACAGAGAGGGGAAATTCAATTTCAACATTCCATAATAGACATATGGCGCAAGGCACAGCTTAATGCAGTTGGTGCCAGCAGACTTCATTGTGAATATTGAGGCGGAGAAAATCACAACAGGCATATATACTCACCAGAGCCGGAAATATAGATAAAAACGACGCTGAATTGTAGTCCCCGACAAAAGCATGTTGAGATATGATGAACACATTTTGCATCAGTGTATTTCTGTTGTTTTTGAACATAAAATATGGAGACTGCTTATATTAATTATTATCAGGCAGAATAAATGTGGAGGATATATTATATTATGCTTGGTAGTCTCGAGATATTCAATAGAATTAGAATTTTTTTTCCTCGTGTACTTAATCAAACATTCCCTTTGCAAGCAGCCTCGTGCTTATTTTAGAAACAAGCTAAGGAAATTTTTTTAATGAAAGAAAAAAATTGTATTTAAGTGAACTAAATAATAGGTGGAGGGGGGGGTCACACGCGTCCACACTTTCTAAAATATAGCTATATTTTATTTTATTTTATTTTTTTTTTACATTTATTTGAATCCGGATACTGTGAAATGAAAACTATAGGGTAAGAATATTTTTCCACTTCAGAGGTTGGGCTCAGTAGTTTGCATTCAACTGGGCAAACTGCTGCCTTCTGAGAGTTGGCCTTTCGCCAGCACAATTTTCAGCGCACACGATTTGACAGTGATGGATTTGGGCCTAATTACAAATCATCCAAAGCAAATGATTAAAATGTGAGAGTGTTTTTTTTTTTTTTTTTTGCTGACCAGTGACCACGATGACTCGGACAAAGGATGGAGCATGAAAACAACAATCACAGCCGTCGTTAATTAACCGATGCTACTATAATTATCTGAATATTTATTGAATTGTGAATTATCTTATTTGAATGTTTTTGCAAGAGGGTGTTACGGTCGCCTTCGTTCGCCTTTTTTTTTTCGAGTGATACATTTGCGCAGTTAAAGATTGGGAAGAAATAAATACTTAAGCAACCGCGGCACTATGGTTCCAATTCAGTGAAATGTAGAGTTTGGGAATCGTGTGACGCATCGTTCATGCATTCAGCTTGCTGCAGCGCTGACCTATATTTCATACAGACAGGCGCACATTTCCGGCAGCTTTCACAACGCATTTATCTTGCGCGCAGTCTGCAGAGGCGAACCAATTAGGGCCTGTTGGCGCTCACATAGTGCGAGATGGCGAATACCGGGAAATGTTTGCACGCTGGATTTGGCTTTTTAAATAATGCCTCTCTCACGCGTTAGTAAATAAAGAGCGTACCCGTTGGCATTTAAAAAAAATATGGAGGAGTTATTATTCCTACGTAACGTTATGTTGCCGAGATTTTTTGATTCAAAGGTCGGGAGGATACAGTACTTTAATTTCACACGTTAAAATATAAAGGAAAACATTTTTTTTTAATTTGCTTCTGGTATTTCAGATCATTGATGTGTTTTTGAGTGGGCGGGTTTTTTTTTGGGGGGGTGCAGCGTTGCAGTTTGGGCCTCGTATGAGGTGAGATGTGGCATCGAAACAACAATATCAAGACATTTAATTGTATATCGAAACATTCAGACCGCTCATCGCGATTATTATGCCCGGAGCCTGAATTAATGTTTGCCTGAAGTGAACGGTCAACTATTTACAGCAACATAACAATAATAATAATAACAATGATGATGTTAATAATAATAATAATAAGAATAATAATGATAATAATAATGATAATAATAATATAGTGAAATATGTGAAAATGCAATATATATATTTTGTGCTGAACAAATCATCTCGTAAAATAAATTCCATTACTAAATTTAAATTCGTGGTGATTTCTTTTGATTTTTATGGATTAAAATAATTACGCATCAATACTCATAACGGGAACACGCGCTGTATAGTCACAGTTCCTCTATGGACGATTCTGGTTTGTGCTCGCCTCGTCGATAAAAGGCTCAGAGGATCGTTGGCGTCCGACAGTGATAAATGAGCTCCTCTGTGCACTTTTTGTGCATTTATTTATTTATAATTCCCTCCCGCGTTCCGCGGCCATCCGACGAGCAACGGAAAGGCGGAAAAACAAAAGAGAAAAAGGTTATCTGTTTGAAAACGAAACGATTTATTCCGTTTTATGATGAAAGTGTCAAAGAACTACCACAAATCTCGGTATTTTATTTTATTCCCCCCGCACCTCCCCATGCCGTCCAATCCCACACACGTTGACTTCAACTAACACGCGCACGCACGCACGTGCATGGTACAAAACAAAGACGCGTCGTGAAAACCAGCTGCAGCTTCTCTTATTTTTTTCAGAATTTGGGAGCCGGCCCATCCATCATCGCTGTCACTATCAATCCAATAACAGCAGACAACTGCAATTCCGTCTCCTATCGAACCGAAGCTGGATACGTGACCTGCTCCAACAACTAATTTTGTTGCTTTTTTTTTTTTCTTCCACCGCCCACGCGCGACCTCTGAATTTTTTTTTCTCGCTTCCCAAAGGCCTTCTTTCACACCAACACATGTGCTTTGTACCTTCTTTCTTTATTCTGTCTCGATTTGGTTCGAGTGTGAAGGCTTCTTCTGTGTTTTGGTGACATAGAAAAATCATTCAAACATTATCCCCCACCCCCACAAAAAAAAGACCGAACTCTTTATAAATTCCCTTCAGTTGTACACACGGATCATGAAAACAAAATACAAAAAAAAAAAAAACAGCATGAGTGTGGAGTAAGATCACTCAAGGTCGTCGCTGTGTGGTGAGGTCACAAGAATAAAAAAAAATACTGAAAAAAAAAAAAAAAAAAAAAAAAAAGAACGCAACGAAGAAGCACAAAACTGTACAGCACAACAGTTAAAATGACTATACATATTTTTCAAATATATCCCACAGTGTTTGCGTGTGTGTGCGCGCGCGCGTGCGTTGTGTCTGTACATCGTTGTTTAGACAGGAGATGCCGATATGGGAATAAAGCTTCACAGATTTGGTTAATATATGAGGGGGGTGGGGAGCGGGGGGCGGTGTCATCCCTGTGGTCCAGCGTGGTATAAAAATAAATAAATAATTTAACACGAAACTGGGGAGTGGGGGTGAGGGGTGGGTGGGCAAAAGACCGCTTCTCCCCCCACCCCCAACCCCAACACGTGATCCTCGACACACGTGCCCGTGCAAAAGCGACGGAGCGTCAAAGTTGAGGTGAGGCGCGTGGGGGGTGGTCACGTGGGATATGCACCGGCGGCTTCAAGCTCCACAAGATGAATGAAGATCCCTGAGCCAACCATGGAGGCCTGCAAAGGCGGAGAAAGGGAGATGAGGGCACGCAATGCAATCGTATTTTTTGAGGGGGTGGGGGTGGGGGCAAAGAAAGATGCACACGCAATTAAATATCACACACACACACACACGCACACACACACACACGCACGCACGCTAACGAATCAAAACAACGTTCACAGTATATGCGTGTGCCATATAATAGCAAATAACCGCGATACACGCCTCTCATTAAAAAAAAAAAAAAAAAAACTATTTCAGGAAAAACATGATTTTTCTGTGGTTCGTTTCTGTCGCCGTTGCCTTTTTTTTTTTTTTTTTTTTTTTTTTTAATAGCAGCCACCCACCTCCCCAGCTCTTCCCGCGCTTGCCGGTCTTAGAGTTCATCCTAAAAGTCTCTTTTGAAAACTGCATGCGGAGAAAGGGAGATGAGGGCACGCAATGCAATCGTATTTTTTGAGGGGGTGGGGGTGGGGGCAAAGAAAGATGCACACGCAATTAAATATCACACACACACACACACGCACACACACACACACGCACGCACGCTAACGAATCAAAACAACGTTCACAGTATATGCGTGTGCCATATAATAGCAAATAACCGCGATACACGCCTCTCATTAAAAAAAAAAAAAAAAAAAACTATTTCAGGAAAAACATGATTTTTCTGTGGTTCGTTTCTGTCGCCGTTGCCCTTTTGATCGACACAAACTGAAAATGAAGACCCGAGATACGGAAACATGAATCATCATAAAGGATTGGTCGCCGCTTCTGAGGATCGGAATCGTCTGAAAATAATAAAATAACATCGGAAATGTTTTCAAGAGGATTTTTGTGGCCTTTAAAAAAAATGAAACCGACGTAAATATATTCTTTTCGGGAAACAACTGCAAACGGAACTGATCATTTTAACACTATGAGGGGCACTCGATTAAATATGTGTAACTGAAACATTTTTGGAAAAAGAAAACGCAACCAACCAATAAAAACCTTCTTATTTATGGCTTTCATTTTTTTTTTTAACATTTGTAAGATGAAAAATACATCGGGATAATATACTTACTTCAATGGATTTCATTGTAACCATTATAATTACATCTCTGCGCTGAATAATAAATAACAATTTACACACGTTATAAAATAAATAGTACCTGGGTTGTGTTTTCAGTTTTTTTTAATGCATATACACTGCATATATACACAGACACACACCCGATTAATGTTGTGTGTGTGTATGTATAAAGTTGCATGATTTCGTCGCTAGCATTCTAATCTTTCTAAAACTACATAAATACACAATGCGATTTTCCACTCATTGATTTATGAAAAATGATAAGACAATAGTATAGTATCATTGAATAAGTCAGCACCCCCCACCCCGAAAACACACACACACACACACACACACACACACGCACACACACACACACACACACACACACACACACAAGACCCACTTTGATCTTGTAGACAGTAATATGATGCGGTAAATTAATGCTTACACACTTTTACACTTTAAGACTGTGCATTTTGTATGAAACAAATTTTGTCTCCTTTTTTCCTCAACCAGTGAAACGAGTTTATTCTGTTTGATAAACTAAAGTAAAGGTCAAGCTTATCATACCATATTCTGCCCAACCTTTATTTTCGCAAATATTTGTTTAACCCTTTCGGGGACAGCTGTTACTACAGTGGACAGCTTATCATGTGAGGTTTACAGGGTGCATGAAAGGGTTAATATGTCATTATTGAGTATCACCCTCATTTTGGAAAAAAAATACTTTTCAAATGGAGCAAGCGTTGCAAAGATGAGACGTGATGCGTCGACAACGGAGCGGATGTCAGAGTTCCTGTATGCAGAAGGCATCATGCAGATTCACTCAAGTATTCCACGCTGGTTAAATGTTATGGCTCCGGCTTTATTGTGCATGGAAAAGCCTCATATTTCTGCAGTCCTGAGAAATTTACTGCTGCAGTCAGCATATGCTCTCACTGCAGATGAAATTGGGGGAGGAAAATACAGCAGGCTTGCTTCATTGAACTACACAAGTAACGACCCACCCATCATTACATGAGAAGTAATTAGATTAAATCACCACCAAATGCAGATACAGTACAGTGTTTATTCGAGGTGGAAAAAAAAACCATGCCAATCTTCCTTGACATTTTTTTTAAATAGAAAAAGCATCATGATCGCATTGGAACTTCATGAGCAATATTTGGGGATTATACCCCCCCCCCCACCACCCAAATAAATAAATTTTAAAAAATTAAAAAAAAGAAGGAACAAGGCTGCCGTGTCGGTGAAAATTGGCCCACTGGATAAAAAATGAAGCAAATGCAGCTCCTATTTACATATAAAGAGCTCTATTAATCAAGGTAAGTGTCATTACAGCGTGGCTCATTGAGCAGCGGAGTGTGGGTGTTAAATAAAATTCTCCGTGCTTGGATGCCTTCGGCGGGCAATACGTCTTGATTTGAGAACTGTCAGCGGCAATATGAAGCTGATAGGGGCCGAAGGAAGAGGAAGGGGGGTGGGGGGGGCTGTAGGGGTGGGATTAGCCTGATTCTTAATCAGATTGCAGAATGAGGGAAGATGGAGGGAGTGGGAAAAGAAAGGGTGCAAAGGGAAAGAAGCCATGGCAGTAGGGGAATGTGATACAATCGCCGTTTTTATTGATGTGAATCAAAAGGATTTTCAACGCGATGTTTCAAAAGAGCTGTAAAATGTGAAGGTGAATGGACTGTGAGTCCCTTCGCTTGATTAAAACAAACAAAAAAGCAAACAAGGCAGCCTTCGTGATGTACTCTACATTGGTCCAATACACAAACAAATGTATGCCTATATCGTGTCCATGTTAAACATCGGATTTTTTGTCATACTTCCGGCAAGGAAGTGCGTGGTCTTGCATGTGCTTGTTTTCACTCGGAAATTTAACAAGGAGAATTTTATTTATTTATTTTATTTTTTGTAAATTGTAATTGCAGATTATGAGTTGTTTTTCAAAAACTCACCCAAGGGTTTAGTGGTTGTGCAAGTAAAATTTCCTCAAAAACGCATCTTGTAAATTTTTTTTCTACAAATTTTTGAGTTAAAAAAGTGTCCTTTAGCCATCGGAAAAGCTAAAGGACACTCCCAAAAATTTTTTCTGTGCAGTTTTAGTCTACTTTTTCAAGTTTTTAAGATATAGGAGTGCCATTTTGTTTCAAAAAAAAAAAAAGAATGAATGTATATGTGTATGTATGTGAATAAAATACTAAGATGGATTAGTGACAAACATTTAAAAAAAATAACTACATTAACTAATAATTAAAAAAAGAAGAAAAAAAATGAAATTCAATTTACAACGGTATGCCGATGGCTACAAGGTGAAGGGGAAAATCTGCCCTAATCTTAATTCATACTGTATTAGCTTTCTGTTTGCAGATATTGACAGTACTGATCAACTGGGAGCCGCACACGCCTCTCACCTCACTGTCTAAATTTTGACTGCACAAATGCTATTTTTAATCAACATAAAAAAAATAACACAACCATGTTTTAACCTTTTCAGGGACAGCGGTTATGACAGTGGACAGCTTAACATGTTATCAGGTTACAGGGTGCATAAAAGGGTTAAAATTTGTTCCCCAGTGTAATTATACACGCAATGAAATGCTGATGATGACAAGAATGTACTAATCTCTTTTTTGCACCATGTCCATACATGTTTTTTGTTGTGTTCCAAAAGGGGGTAGCACGTACGAACAGACCTTACATACGTATACCGATGTTGTATTAAGAACTAGAACTTCGTAACCTTTTTGATGTATCGCCTCCAAACGTTTGCTAGGATATTTTGAGTAGAAAAATGAAATGAGAGAGAAAATGTGCAGTAATGTACTTACTCTGCCCTGTTGTTGAGGCTGGCCTCAGCAATGTGGTCTTACATGTAGTGCCATTGCCCGTCCATGCCCATGTTCATACCCATACCCCCCATCGGACCTGGAACAAGAGTGTGTTTCGAAATTTGATTCGTTTCAATTGAGCGGCATATTAACTACACGATTGATAACAATCGTTAAATAAGTTATTTTAGAAGGTGGTGGTTCAGAACTAGACGAAGTGTATTTACTACCCTGACTGTGATGAGAAACAAATGACATTTGAAGAGGTAAAATTTTTGGGGATTGAGAATGTTTACCTCCGGGTCGAAGGCCCATGTGCTGCTGTCCATCAAGGACAAAGCCTCCCATTGGTTGGCCGTCTGGACTGTAAGCTGTACCCTGACTCACTGAGAGAAGAACAGAGAGAGAAAAAAAAAACGTCAATGGGACAAAAAAAATTGCATTACACCTGTCTTTTGAGCCATATACACCTTCTATGGCTCTGTACCTCAGGGAGTGGTCTCCTGCCCACTAAAGTCTTTCAGAAGATGTGAAACAGGCTGCAACTCTGACAATGTTCATTCTATTTAACTGTACATATGAAAATATTTTACCTGTACTGCTCGCTTTTGAATTCATTCATCATTTTTTAATTTTTAAAATGTCTATTTTTTTTTGGACAAAATGATTTTAATTGTGGCAGCATTACCGGTGTTCAACCGGGTAGCATGCCGGCTTCACAGTGCAGAGGTGCAGGGTTCGATTCCAGCTCCGGCCTTCATGTGTGGACTTTGCATGTTCTCCCCGTGCCTGCGTGGGTTTTCTTCGGACACTCTGGTTTCCTCCCACATTCCAAAAACATGTACGGCAGGTTAACAGAACACTCTAAATTGTCCTGAGGTGTGATTGTGAGCCCAAATGTTTGTTCGTTTATGTGTGCCCTGCGATTGGCTGGCAACCAGTTCAGGGTGTCCCCCGCCTACTGCCCGAAGATGCCTGGGATAGGCTCCAGCACACCCGCGACCCTCATCAGGATAAGCGGATTAGAAAATGGATGAATGGATTGTAACCTTTTAAGTTTATGTACAGTAGCTGTAAAACATTTCAAATGACCTTGTGTATGAAATGTGCTCCACAAATAAACTTGCCTTGCCTTACCTTTTAATCCTGCGCAACTCAGGGGTCACCAACATGGTGCCCGCGGGCACCAGGGAGCCCTCAAGGACTACATGAGTAGCCCGCGGGCCTATTCGAAAAATAGCTCACCAGTGATTAGACATTATGATTGTCGAGGAATATTGTAGAAGCCATCATTTCAAAATGTAAACACTGGCACATATTTATAAAAGTGTTTAAAAGTGTGGCCAATTGATATTTATCTGTTTCATAATTCTTGTGAGAAACCGTTAATGCGATCAGCGTCTTCTCAGAAATGGATATCATTAATCGTTAATTATAACATACGAAAGAAGTTTGAGTGAATTTATTTCAAAAGTGCATCCTATCAAACTGGCAGCCCTCCGCATTCATCAGGAGTCAGGAAGGAGCTCTTAGTTTTAAAAAGGTTGGTGACCCCTGTGCTCCATTAATCTGTCGCTACACTTGTGATTATCAATTAATAGTCCACCAAGTGCCATCTTTTTTACTTGATGTTGAGTTTAACTCTGTATGAACTCTTTTTTTGTATTTTTTTTTACCTGCTCTGTTGGACTGGTCGATCATCGGCTGAACTATTCTCCTCCGTGCATTGATGAACCTGAAAATCAAACGTATGTCAAATAAATATCGAAGGGCGTTATGCATCTCCACTCACAAGTTCCCCAGTTCCTGAGAGGATTGAACAAATAATTCTTCAGTTAAAGCATTCGGGATCCACCCTTACATATGGCAGTTTCAGACAGACTGGAAACCCATGCTGTGTCTCCAGGGGATTTCACTAATAATACAATTCCCTTCCACAGACACAATCTGTTGTATTGGAACCTTGTAATATATCTGTGAAAAGAAAAAAAAAAGTCTATTGATTTAGGTTTAGCCTTGTAGCCACAGGCTATACTGTGACTAACTGATCTGCCAATGCTTTTTCATGAACACATCCCCAAGGCAGCATGGGAAATTTGAACATGGTGACATCCATATTAGGGCTTCCAAAGCTTGTGGATCTAAATGTGCGTTGTTACGTAATTAAATCTGAATAAGCTCTTTTATATTGTATGGTACATTTATGAGGAAATACTATATCGATGCTTATATATATATATATA